CACTACGAATACTACTATTACTACTGCTACTACTACTACTACTACATACAGCTACTACTACTATACATTACTCTACTACTACTACTAGACCTACTTACTACTGCTGCTATTTAATTACCTACCACGCACAGCACCACTACTACTACGAACAAACTACTACTAATTCCACTACTACTACTACTAATAATACGACGACTACTACTATTACTACTCAAAAAATCAAAACTGCCCCCATGTCCAAGTGGACGCAGGAGACATTCTCGTAGAAGAACAAGCATATTAAACCACGGGGTTATACGGTAGGGTGAACTTTGACCCCAGTACACCAATGCCAGCTTACGAGTACTTAGTCATAGCTGGAGCGACTGAGAGGGGCGACAGAGCGCGAAATATTAGAACTGTTACTTTTATTATCATTACTGTTATTATTATCATTAAGACGTTAAATGGAATCAGACACCACATCAGTTGGATGGGAATTAATGTAGGCCAATACCATTGTTATAACAACAGCTGCTATCTGTACCATTATAATTTCTATGATTATTATTGTTGTTGATAATGATGATATTGTTGTCATCGCTTTTACATTTTTTCTTGTTATTATTAAAGGTCCATTTTTACGACCTTCAACATTTTCATGATTATCAGCGTTAAATACAATTCCCATCATTTAGTTGCATTTATCAAAATGACCATCGCATTCAACTTTAAAAACATTTTAAACTTTTTCTCTCTCTCTCTCTTTCCTTTTCGGTTTAACACATTTCATTCTTTTCTCGAACTAAACCTCTCTCGTATTTTTTCGCTCTCTCATCCTCTCTGTTACACCTTTATCAAACACTTTATCTTTCTTCCTTCCTATTCTCTTTCCAGCTTCCAAGAACGATGTCATATGACCTTTGACCTCTCCCCACCCCCTACTCCTCTCGAAAAGCCTTCCTGATGCGTTACCTGATTTGACCTGACAATTTTTGCGAATTCGACCAGATATCGGAGTCCGTTTCTCCTGACTTGACCCGATCTTTGGGAATTACTTTTTTGAAAAATTTGACCCCCATTGACCTCTGATTTACTAATGTCCTCTGGTTCGACCTGGAATTTGGTGGTCTACGGATAAAATGAAATTTTCTCTGGTAACTTGTGGTGATAATGACACTAAAATATGTGTCAAATATTTGTTAGATAAGCCTGATAGAAAGGTATTTATATTTGAATAGATATATAAACTGATAGAAAAATATATAATCAGATATTCAGTAAAGATTAAGAGCAGAAGAGAGAGAGAGAGAGAGAGAGAGAGAGAGAGAGAGAGAGAGAGAGGAGAGAGAGAGAGAGAGAGAGAGAGAGAGAGAGAGAAGAGAGAGAGAGAGAGAGAGAGAGAGAGAAGGAGATAGACAGAGCAGATGAGGGGAGAGAGAGAGGAAGGGGGAGAGAGAGATTGATAGAGAGAAAGAGAAGAGAAAGAGAAGAGAGAGAGAGAGAGAGAGAGAGAGAGAGAGAGAGAGAGAGAGAGAGAGAGAGAGAGAGAGAGAGAGAGAGAAGAGAAGAGAGAGAGAGAGAGAGAGAGAGAGAGAGAAAGAGAAAGAGAGAGAGAGAGAGAGAGAGAAGAGGAGAGAGAGAGAGAGAGAGAAGAGAGAGAAGAGAGAGAGAGAGAGGGAGAGAGACGAGAGAGAAGAGAAAGAGAAGAGAGAGAAAGGAGAGAGAGATTCTGAGAGAGAGAGAGAGTAAGAAAAATAGAGAGAGGGGAGAAGGAGAGATTGACAATGAGAGAGAAAGAAAAAGAGTAAGAGAGAGAGAGAAAAAAAAATCCATTAACACGACGCCAATCTTGAAATTAACACAAAGGAAACACCAGCGGGAATTCGGGAACACCCTCAGAGGATTAGCAAACACCACTGAGGATTAGGGACACACCAGGGAAGATTAGGGACACTAGGGTAGAAAGACTTAAAATAATCTACATTTGTCTTCCTCGAAAGTTTTGCTTAAGTTTCCTTGCGCCAAACTTGAGTCTTTGGCCCACATTCACGTAGAGACTTTATTGAAGTTTTTGTTTTTTTATTTTTTTATTTTTTTTTGACTCGCTTGTGTTCCGTTCTAAAAGGTGGTATAGGTAATTGTGATGATATTATCGTTTAGAATAATCTATTTGATTTTTTTTTGATGGGGGTATTATTGTACCTTAAGGTGTGTTTATCTACACTTAATGATAAAGTTATCTTTTCGTTTAATTACTTTATCTATTATTACTTTTGTTCTTCTCTTTACACTGATGTTCTCACTTGCCGTCGATATTCCAAGTCCCGTTGGTAACATTATGCTAATATCAGTAATAACAATATCAATGCTTATATGTTTTGCTTATATATTTTTTTGTATTTTTTATCTGCTTTTGTTCCTCCTTATTTCTCCTCTCTTTTTCATTATCCCCTCCTTTGTATTTTTCCCTCTTCGTCATTCGTCAATTTATTGTTACTCTTATCTCTCTTGTTTCCTA